AAAAAAAAAAAAGGAAGATAGAAGAAAAGGATAGATTTGTATGTAAGCTTAATGGATTTTTGTCCAAAAATAGAAAGATTAAAAAGCAATATTACGTAAAAGAAAGAGAAAAGTTTTTGCATGATTTTAATTTTTGTAAATAAAATGTCTCTTCTCCCGTAGACCCAGGTCGATTTCTTCGCACAGAAAATGAACATCAAAATAAAAGGAAATCCGTAGAATCTTGAAAGTGTACTCGGGAAAAAAGTTAGACTCTTTTGGAAACGAAGTGAAATAGAATGCGATGTAGATCGAAACTGAAGCACATCTATGAAAGTAGGTAGCAGGTAGTTTGTGGTGAAGGCGTCTCGATATTTCGGTTGGAAAAGCATCGTGGAACGTCGAGTTCGTTTTCTCTGACGTCCGTCGCACTACTCTTCAACGTCGTCCTCGAACGATTTTCCCATCGTAGAAATAGCGTCGTAAAAATCTTTCTTATTTCGTTTCGCGTCCTCGATTTTAAACTGTCTCAACGTCTTATCGTTCAGTTTCTACCATGAGCTTTACGAACGAAACTACAATTCGACTTGTTTTCCCTTTCAAGCTTTTTCTCATCGTCTTTGCAACAAGAAACTATTGTTGCATTGCAACAACTTTCTACTCGTCTGTTTCTTATTCATTATGTTGGTTCCTTCTTAACTGTTACCTTTTTAACTCCTTTTTAACTATTTCTACTACTGTTGTCATTAACAAATTATTATTATTATTATTGTTGTTGTTATTATTATCATATTATTTAATGTGTAGTACCCATTATTGTAAGATTGTAAAACTTAGTTGTCCCTAGCCTGAAATAGGACCCCCCTTATCTCAACCTTCTAGTTTCCTACAGGCCCTTTTCTAGTTCCCACAAACATCCTAAACAAACTTCTACTATTTCTTTAGTTTTCTTTTCCCAAACACCCAAGAAGAGATACATTTCGACTTCCTACCTAACTACACTACATCGAGTGTCGAGCGTTATGTATATCTATATATATATCGGCGTATAAGCGCGGCGTTTTTAAGTCGAATATTGATGTTTATGGCACGCCGGTTTCTTATTTATTGTCGAAAATAGTTAACCTTGTATAAAAGAAAAACAGTAATTCATTTTAACAGGAACTATTATTATTAAGTCGAGAGTAAAAATAATAAATTAATTTTGTGCAGTTGCAGTTGCAGTTGCAGTTGCAGTTGCATGTGCAGTGGCAGTTGCATGTGCATGTGCA